GCATCTGTAAAGAAAAATCAGAGTTAACATTTCAGGTCTGGTGACTGTTCTCAGAACTAATGGTAGCTAGGAAAATGTTGCTTTGTATGTAGAAGATAGAGTGGGGTGGAGGGGATAAGGAGTAAATGACAGGTGGGGATAGAGCCCCAGGAGAGAGAGGAAGAGTTCGACAGACAAAAGAGTTGATCAAGATCTGGCTCAGAGGGTGAATGCAAATTCTCATTTTCCGCTTGGAGACCCTGCAGCCCTCCGGACTCAATTTCAAGTTCGATATTTTTAGGGCCCAAACTCTCCCATGTCCTAGCCCCGTAACACACACATCAGGCCTTGTTATCATAGTCTGCCATCACATGCTACCTATTGTTTGTCACCAACCGTACCCATTAACAACTGTTTATCCTCCTACCCAGATCCACACTCCCCTCCAGCATTTTTCCCTGCAACCGCAGGAAGTGCTATTTCTGCCCCTACACCTCCCCCCTCACCCCCATCCCGGGCCCCAAGAAGACTTTCCACATCAAGCAGATGTTCACCTGCACATCTGCTAATGTGGTATACTGCATCCGCTGTTACCGTTGTGGCCTCCTCTACATTGGGGAAACCAAGCGGAGGCTTGGGACCGCTTTGCAGAACACCTACGCTCGGCTCGCACTAAACAACTGCACCTCCCAGTCGCGAACCATTTCAACTCCCCCTCCCATTCCTCAGACGACATGTCCATCTGGGCCTCCTGCAGTGCCACAACGATGCCACCCGAAGGTTGCAGGAACAGCAACTCATATTCCGCTTGGGAACCCTGCAGCCCAATGGTATCAATGTGGACTTCACAAGCTTCAAAATCTCCCCTTCCCCTACCACATCCCAAAACCAGCCCAGCTCGTCCCCGCCTCCCTAACCTGTTCTTCCTCCCACCTATTCCCACCTCCAACCTCAAGCCCCACCCCCATCTCCGACCTACTAACCTCACCCTGCTCCCTTGACCTGTCCGCCCTCCCTGGACTGACCTATCTCCTCCCTAACTCCCCACCTACACTCACCTTTACTGGCTCCATCCCCGCCTCTTTGACCTGTCTGTTTCCTCTCCACCTATCTTCTCCTCTATCCATCTTCTATCCGCCTTCCCCTCTCTCCCTATTTATTTCAGAACCCCCTTCCCCTCCCCCATTTCTGAAGAAGGGTCTAGGCCTGAAAAGTCAGCCTTCCTGCTCCTCTGATGCTGCTTGGCCTGCTGTGTTCATCCAGCTCTACATCTTGTTACCAACTCCTTTGTCTGTCCAACTGTTCTTCTCTCTCTTTGGGCCCTATCCCCACATATCATTTACTCCTCATCCCCACACTGCCACCACCCCACCCCCCAACCCTATCTTCTGCATATAAACCAACATTTTCCTAGCTACCATCAGTTCTGAGGAAGGGCCACTGGACTCAAAATGTTAACTCTGATTTTTCTTCACAGATGCTGCCAGACCTGCTGCCAGCAACGTGTGTTTTTGTTTGGAGTACTTGTACATTCTGGTCTCATTGCTATAGGAAGGACATTATTAAATTGGAGAGGGTTCAGAAAAGATTTATCAGATGTTGCCAGGACTGGAGGGTTTGAGTTCAGAGAGAGTGGATAGGCTGGGACTTGTTTCACTGGAACCTAAGAGGTTAAGGGGTGACCTTATAGAGGTTTATAACATCGTTAGGGAGCACAGGTAAGATGAATAGCAAAGATCTTCTTTCCTAAGTTGGAGGAGTTCAAAATTGGGGGGGTGCATATTTTTAAAGTTAGAGCAGAAAGATTTAAACTGGACGCGAGGGGCAACGTTTTTGCACCAAAGGAGGTTCGTATGTGGAAGGAACTGCCAGAGCAACTGGTAGATGGAGGTACAGTTACAACATTTAAAAGATACTTGGATAGGTATGTGAACAGGAAAACTCTGGAGGGATACAGACCAAACACAGGCAGGTGAGACTAGTTTAGTTTGAAAAACTTGGTCAGTATGGACAAGTTGGACCAAAGGGTCTGTTTATGTGCTGTATGACTATGACATTGGTGAGAATTCTCCAATTTAGAAATTATAAATTGTTGCACAAACAACAGACTTGGTGACAACAGACAGCAGAATGGCAACAACTACTGTTAATGCATGGTACCACATGCATCAGAATATCTCAAAACCTCTCCAATTCAGAAGGAAAGAAGTCTTTAGAGTACCAGCCACAATTTATGTTTTGCTTTAAAAAGTAACCCAAAGTGGCAGCCAACAAAAACCAGGTCAAATCAAATTCTATGCAGACGTTCACTAAAATTCTTTAGCATCATTGGCAAGACTTTATGTGGACTTTTCAGAAACAGGTCTGAGCATTCATTCATAAATTTTGCCAATTTTGGATGGCTCTCCAACAGCTTCCTCTCCTTCTCATGTTTTTGTTTTTTCAGGAAAGCAAATCAAGCTGCGCTGTCGCAGCTTCAAATTAAACTGCTGCCAATTACAAACTATAATAAGAATGTTTCTTCTCAACAAATATCTGAGCCAAAAGGTCTAACTGCAATTTCCAAAAGGTTTTTGTCTTATTTCAACCACTCATACTTTCATGTCACCTAAATGGTCTTCACTGGTCTTAAATGCCCATCATACAAAATATCCCAACTGCCTCAATTTTCCAGCTACCAATCAAAAAAATTGCCAATCTCACTGTTGTTGCAAACCCCATTGAGACCACTAATATTTGAAGAGAGAAAGAATCCCTGAGTCAACAGCAAGTTTCTACTTTCAGAAATCGACTGAATTCAAACATTAACAGGCAAAGGGTATTTCAAAGAGACGAGCTTCACTTCAACTAATCAATACAAACTTTTTCTCGTGTAGGTACAAACACATACATTACTTCCCACGCAAGCAATCTCATAGTCTTTCCAGTTTGGTCTCCATTTTGTAGGATTTCTCACTTCCCATCCAATTGTTTAAACTTTGAATCACATAACTATATTCCAGCAACCGTATTCCATTTGAAGTGCCCAGACAAAGTTACCCACCAAGGTGCGTTCCTTCAAAAACTCTCCTTTTCAGATCATGACAATGCTAAAGCTCAGAATTCCCAAAGCCTCCCTTCTCTCACCTCTTTACATGGGTCTTAGACCAAGCAGCAGTGGATCCTGTCCAATCTACTTTACCCTATCTTTTGCTTCCTGCTCTAAATGTATAACATACAGAGTAACACAGTCTCTGCTCTATTCCCAGAATGCTGCCTCAATCCTAGCATTTATTCCAAGACTGCCAAACAGAAAACCATTCCATTCAGAAAGAATATTGAGAGCTGTTTCTGTACATAACTTCTCAACTTACTGAACTGCCAAAAAAAAATAGTCTGACCTGACCCAACCCGACTACAATTAGTTGTCTAACTACTCTTTGATTTTTAGCTGTTCATTCTCATGACAACCTTAGCTCACATGGGTAATTCTTGGAACCTGATTATGTCAATCAGGAAACCAACCTTCTTTTGGAATACGCCCCAGCTTATTTTGGTCTTAAAGGGATAAGGCCACAAAAAGAAAACATTTTCAAAAACACATGGGTCATCTCCTTGAGTAGAACTTTCACATCACAAATGCCTTCAGCAGCCAGATGTCCTCTTGATTAACCACTTACAGTAACTCAAGCTAACGAACCAATGATACACTAGTGTTATATCAATTTCTACACTGCGCTACAACACATGGATAAGCAAGCCAAATCAAATCAGCCTCATTATCGCTGGATTCACAACACAAATGAAATTAAAACATTTAATGACCTTCCAAACTGCCAATTGTTCCTAACTAGACTTTACAAATAACAGATCTTGGACACCAAGCTTATAACTTAAATAAAAATTAATAAATTATTAATGTAACTTTAGCAGAACACAGGTAAACAATAGGCAATGAAATTAATATTTATGACCTAAAGCCTAATTTTCTCTGATCATAACCCCCACTTTCACACAGACAGACAAGAAACAATTTTTTAAAGAATAAAGCAATTGTAATTTGCCAGCAGAATAAACAGTTTCCTATGACTGATACCACACCTTTGTGAAATCGCTAGACAATGGGTTGTTCACAGGCTCTAGAACTGCATACTTTACATGAATTCCAAAGCCACCAGTAATGACAAACAGCTTTAGAAAATTCTCAAAATATTTACTTGTTTCTCATAGTTTGGGATTCCTTACTCGGAACATTCAGTAATTTGATAACGGGAAAGAAACGAGAGGGAGCAAAACAAAACAGCACCATCTCCAAAAGTTTCCAAAAATCGCCTCCATTCAAACCCAGTCAGAACCGGTTCTGCTGTGATTGACCAATTCAACATCCAAAGAGCTGTCAGCCCTGAGCAAGGCAACTGCTTGGTGCTGATACATCTACAGTGTCCTTAGATCAGTAATTAAATTGCATTATCTTTCCAGGCCAGATACCAATAGAAAACATCTTTGTTCGCTTCTCTTTTAAAACAGGTCGTTGTTCAAAGCTCAATTCTGAACTTTAACTCTCAGTTCCAAACCAAAAAAAGAGAAAAACAAAAGAAAAAAGTGACGATCTCTACAGCAAACAAAGTTTTCACAAGAGATAACAAGGTGTAGATCTGGATGAACACAGCAGGCCAAGCAGCATCAGAGCAGCAGGAAGGCTGACGTTTCGGGCCTGGACCCTTCTTCAGAAAAAATGAAAAAGTTTTCACAAGGATTTCTCTCCTTACTGCCAAGTCAACATTCTGCTAAGAGAGTGCATGTGGTATGGTTACTTCAAACTTCACCAACCCATGGTTTACCTATGTTTGCTATGGACAGAATGGCCTTCTTCATCACTGTAGTAGTGCTGTTTTGTTTGACAAATGATGATCAGTTGTGCAGTGATCTGTTGCCCCTTTAATCTTGTTGCAGGATCTCCACAAATAACAAACATTCTCTTGAATTAAGAAAAGTTAACAGCATTTTTTTCAATATTAAAGTTAAAAAGCACAGGCACTTACTCGCATCACCATCTTCTTCCCATGTACCAGGAGAAGGAGCATTGCCGAGATATTCATCATCCTAGGAATAGAAAAGTTACAAAAATACTGGAGTGAAATGTCTGATTCAGAAGCATTGTATAAAACTGCACTCATTTTTAGTTCCACTTCTGACCTGAAGAAATGATCCTCTTGAAAGTTAATCGACCTTAGTTATTTCGAATGTTTTTAAAATTATACTCTGGTTATTAAGTGTTTACGTTTTATGCTCCTGCACATAATGCACACTTCTTGCAAGCATCAGACTTGTTTGTTATAATTCATGCTGTCACACCATCAGTGACCTCTCATATCAGTTGAGGTTTATTCAAACCTACAGAGAACTGCTAGCCAATGTTCCGATTTTGCAACGTAATATAACACAGTATGTAACGTAAGCATAACTAGATCCACAGAAATACAATTACCAAAGGCAGTTTAAAAATTGCTGCTTAAGAAAAATTTAAAAGTCCTGTATCTGAGGGCATTTAATAGGTAGAATAGAAACTCAATTCCAAAATAAAACACAAACACCTATTGTAACATGAAGAAACCACAGTCAAGGGAAGATACTCGAACTGTTGTAATGTCTCCAAGACTGGGAGCCCAGCAATCCAGTCTAATTCTCTGGAAATATGCATTTAAATCCAAACATAGGAGTAGGAGGAATTTAAATTCAATGAATTAATAAAAATCTGGAATGGAAATATAGTTTCATGGTACCATTACTGAACTGTCACTGATCCTTTCAAAAGCTCATCAGGCTAACTAACATCCATGAGGGAAGGAAATCTGTTGTAACTTGGTGAGACCTACATGTGACTCCAGAACCACAGCAACGTAGTTGATTTTGAACTGCCCTCAGATATACCACATCATGACAGAAAAATCAAAAAGGAATAAAACCAGATGAACAACCCAGCATCAACTAGGCAACAGAAACAGCAATAGAATGTTCAGTCCTGTGTACCCTCCAAAGTGTTCATTTTCCACCAGATCATGCCATAATTGAGAAAGCTGTCCAACACAGTGATTAAACAACAGCCTGACACAATCAGTCTTCAAATTTCACATTGCAACCAATATCCCCCACCACCAGATTTACCATACTTGGACAAGTCCTGGCCCATCAGCAGGGTCTGTGGTCAGAAGGCAATTGTCCTGGGTGTCCCCAAACTCAACAGCAGATCACATGAAGTTCCTCAGAATCAGGTCAATCACAGGTAAGGAAATCTCTGACAGATTACCACCTCCCTCACCTTACGAATCAGTACCTTATGAATCATGTTGAATACCACTCGGAAGAAGCATCATGGTGAAAAGGGCAAAGGATGCACTCTGAGTGGGGAGTCTTCAATGTTGATCAATCTCGGTAGCACCACTTCTGACCTGGCTGACCCAGGCTTGTAAGGACATTACTGCTTGACTGGGTCTCTCCCAATTGCTGACAGAACCAACCGGAGCAATAAATCTTCCAGACCTTGACCTCACCAATCTTTCTGTTGCACATGCATCTGTCTCTGGCAGTTTAGATAGAAGTGACCACTGTCCTTGTGAAAACCAAGTCATACTGAGGATAGTCCTTAGCACATGCAGCTTTACCACTGGATAGAACAGATTTAGAAGCTGAAACGTGGGTATTCATGACATGTTGAGGACATCAACAGCAGCAGCATTATATGATTGTATTATGAATAACCGTTACTATGCCAAGGGATCAACACCAATTCAGTGAACAGCATATGCCAGGAGCAGCACCAGACAAGCTTACAAATTAGGTGACAAACTGAAGAATTTATAACACAGCAGTACTGGCATGCCAAACAGTAGAAGTTGTCAGATCTAAGCTCTGGCACATCCAGATGCGAACGGTAGTGGACAATTACAAAACTAACAGGCAAAAAGGTAGCTGCTCAAATATCCAAATCAAACATTCATTGCCTCCAGATCATTGCAAAGTGGCAGCAGCAGGTACAACATACATTATAGCGCAGCAACTCACCAAGACTCCTTCAGCAGCACCTTCTAAACTCTCAATCTCTGCAATGTAGGACAAGGGCAGCAGATACATAAGAAAACTATCACCATGAGATTCCCCCAAGCCACACATCATCCTGACTTGCTATTCCTACATTGTTGCTGGACCTAAATTGTGAAAGTTGGTCCCTACCAGCTCCACAGGTGTACCTATACCAAATGGACTGCGGCAGATCATGGAGGTGGATCAGCAGCATCTTCAAGGGCGATTAGGGATAGATAGCAAGAACTGGCCTTGCAGTGATGCCCACATCCCATGAAAGAAACAAAAAACAGACGATGGGACAAATATTTGATTCCTCATCTATGCTGCTACCTCATCTCAATCAGGATAGTGACAGGTTGCTAGGACAGTATAGATTCAGAGAAAACAATGAACTGACGTACTGTCATTCACTACAATACACTGCCGTGAATGTTATTGCTTTGTAGTGATGGTTTGATTAAATTACTAGTAGAAAATAAAAACATAATATGGATTAAATTTAAAACAAAAATTCAGTTTCATCTTAATCTGATGAAAAAGAAAGCGACCACTGTGGGTACTGAGAAAGTCAGAATGAGTAAGTTGACTAAAATTCTTCAATTGATCAGGAGAGATTGGTAAAGAGGCTTCACCAAATCCTCCGTAATTGGTGAATACAGAGAGCTTCGCAGAAACCTACAAGAATAAATAAACCAATGACATTCTACAGAAACAGATTTCGACATTAATATGACAATTTGGTACATTCAAATTTAATAATAAGTCGATTTTGAGAATGCTGCTTTATTACTGTATTATTTGTGGTGGTGCCTGGGATCACATTCATTTTCAAGTGTTAAAATGGAACCACGTCGGAAAATAGTTTGGGAAGCACTGTCATTAGATGACTCCAATTTGTGAACAAGTCCTATTAAGCATTTTCAGAATATTGAGATACAATAAAATCTATACTTCTGATCCAAAAAAGGTTTCTAGTTTTTATTCCTTTTACATGAATTATCATTGCAACTTAATTGAAGAGGCCACATATAGAAAACCTTACTAAGTGGAATAGCCACTGTTTGAAACCAGGCACCCCATCCCCAAAACTCTAAGTTAATAAAAACCAAATTACAAATGAACAGTTGTTCAACTGTATTGTTGCAGTGCTTAAATGCGGCCACCACAGCATTAACAGTATTTGAAAAAGCAATTTTTGTGGAAAGTGGAACAGTGAAGGTCATGTACATTTTGGTTCAGTATCAGGATCATAGACTGTCAGATCAAATATTTCTAAGACATGCGAGTAGCTGATTTTACCTAAAATTATGGATTTCTGTTTTGTGTTAATTAATTAAGAATTTAATGTCTGAAGGATGAATCAGGAGATGCACAAATAAGATCACAATACCAGACTTGCTTTTTGTAGGACATCCCAAATAAGTCAAAAATAAATCCTCTATTTCAGAGTCATTAAGACACAAGGTTCACAATTGATCCCCAGGTTGTGTTATAAAGAAACTGACAAACAGTGACCGTGCTACCAGATTCCACCACTCTGACTGGCCTGTACCTTGAATGCTATGCTGCAGTACTGATCAAGAAAGGCACTGAAAACCTGGAAATCATTTAGGGAAGGCCAACAAGGCCTATTCCTTGTGTCAGAGAACTGAGTGGGAAAGATTACAAATTTTGGCTAAATTAGCCTTGAAAAAAAAGGGTGACTTGAGAACAGACTTTACAGAACAACATGATAATTACAGGAATAGAGAACATTAATTCTGAATGCTCTTTATACTCCATGACAAGGACAGAAAGATAATCAGTAACAGGCAAGTTATGACTGGTGTCAAGATCTGCATTTTTCGCATAAAATCAGATCAAATTTTAGAAACTGGGTAATGAAGGAGAAAAAGCTTAAGGCTTATTCCTCAGACAGTTTCTAAGATATGGGCAGAATGAGGGACCATGGTTTCTTATGGATGGATATATTCAGATAGAGCGAGACAGCCTCTCCCATCTCATTATATATTTGGGACCTTAGCAAGTACTAGAGTGAAAATTGACCAATAGATCACAACTGACCTGGGTATGAAAGGGGTAATTCATCAACATTGTTGCACCAAACCATGCTAAAACCCTCAATTTCAACTGGTTATTTAGAAAGTCTAAAATATTATTTTGGAAGTCACTCAGGCTTTTATTTATTTTGAAATGTTAGTAGCAGGCTTGCAAAAGAACTTTAACCAGTTCATTACAATTCTAATAAAGGAATAAAAAACATATATTTGATAGTTCCCCACTAAGCTGACTCTGTAACAGAGAGGATAGTTTCATCCTAGCTCTGCATCAATTCAGACAATCTTAAATCTTTGGCCATTAAAATTGTGCTCAACATCCAGTAAAAGATGATTTTCTTTCTATTCTTTCTCTCAAGGCAAGTCCTTGGTAATTATTCACCAAACTGCCAATAATAGCTGTGATTCTACTACAGTTAGGCTAAGGGACCAGGTGCAGAATCAACCTCAATGAGAATGAGGATTGGTGTTGCCTGATCCACACAGCAGCATCTAGCCAAGTAAGCTCATTCCCAACCTCCGTCCTACGCAAAAGGTGGATTTAAAACAACAAAAACTAACCAGAGTTTTCACTTTTGATCATTTCATTGAATGAAGTGTGTGGTTCATGATATCCTTCTGGATGAGCAGCACAGTCTGCTCCACGGTCTCCCCCCCACAGCCAAAGAACTCCGGTAAATTCCTAACTCTGGTGCTGATCCTAGAATCCTAACTCCAAAGCACAATAGATCCTTCAGTCATGAAATTACCAAGATCTAGAAGTAGGAAAACACAAATCTCTGGTTTTAGAAAACAACCACTGCCATGGATTCAAACACTAGTAAGACCAAACCTATACAAGTTTACAACATTATGAAATCATAGAATCCCAACAATGGGAAGCAGGCCATTCCCACTGAACTACTCAGCCCTCCGAGTGCCTGGAATACTCTGCCAGAGGTGGTGGCGGAGCTGAAAACATCT